AATAAAAAATTATCAACAGATTTTAATCTTAAACAGCATGCTTAAACGTCAATATTGTTGAGTTAATGAAAAACATAAAAAAAAAATAAATTCAAAAATTTGTTAAGGCGTTACCTTTAAAATATGTTATTTTAACTGCAGAGAAAATTTTTGTTGTCGACAATTTGTCACAGCCTTTTTTCACAGTTTTGCATTTTTTGGGATATTTTTTTAAATTATATGCCGTTGGAGCAGCCTTAAGTCGTTTTAGTGTCAATATGAAATTGTCAGTGTCATACGTATATAAAGATATTTTTGAAGTTGCTAATTAAAGTACTCCTACATACTATGTCTTCACATTACTGATAAATATACTTTATAAAGACGTCTAAATACTCTTAGTAGAGTTAGTTTAGTAAGGATATATCATTCTAGGTTACTTCAACAATAGTCCCGTCCTGATATAGATAACATATTGATCGTTATTATTGTCTATAATACAGGCAAAGTATTGATCGACATATTTATTATACAGATAACATATCGATCAATATCTCTATCTATTCTATAGATAAGATATCAATCGACATATAGTCTATTCTATAGACAACATATCGATCGATATTTGATCTAATCTATAGACAAGACAACGAATGATAATCAGTCTATTATATTCTATATACAAGGTATCGATCAATATTCAGTTTCTTTCATAGACAACATATCGATCGATATTTAGTCTATTCTATAGACAATATATCGGTCAATATTTAGTCTATCCTATAGACAATATATCGATCGATATTAAGTCTATTCTGTAGATAACATATCGATCGATATTTAGTTTATTCTATAGACAACATATCGATCGATATTTAGTCTATTCTATAGACAATATATCGATCGATATTAAGTCTATTCTGTAGATAACATATCGATCGATATTTAGTCTATTCTATAGACAACATATCGATCGATATTTAGTCTATTCTATAGACAATATATCGATCGATATTTATTCTATAGACAATATATCGATCGATATTTAGTCTATTCTATAGGCAATATATCGATCGATATTTAGTCTATTCTATAGGCAATATATCGATCGATATTTAGTCTATTCTATAGACAATATATCGATCGATATTTAGTCTATTCTATAGACAATATATCGATCGATATTTAGTCTATTCCATAGACAATATATCGATCGATATTTAGTCTATTCCATAGACAATATATCGATCGATATTTAGTCTATTCCATAGACAATATATCGATCGATATTTAGTCTATTCCATAGACAATATATCGATCGATATTTAGTCTATTCTATAGACAATATATCGATCGATATTTAGTCTATTCTATAGACAATATATCGATCGATATTTAGTCTATTCTATAGACAATATATCGATCGATATTTAGTCTATTCTATAGACAATATATCGATCGATATTTAGTCTATTCTATAGACAATATATCGATCGATATTTAGTCTATTCTATAGACAATATATCGATCGATATTTAGTCTATTCTATAGACAATATATCGATCGATATTTAGTCTATTCTATAGACAATATATAGATCGATATTTAGTCTATTCTATAGACAATATATAGATCGATATTTAGTCTATTCTATAGACCAAATATCGATCGATATTTAGTCTATTCTATAGACAATATAGTCTATTCTATATACAGAATAGACTAAATATCGATCGATATTTAGTCTATTCTATAGACAATATATCGTTCGATATTTAGTCTATTCTATAGACTATAGATATTTAGTCTATTCTATAGACAATATATCGATCGATATTTAGTCTATTCTATAGATAATATATCGATCGATATTTAGTCTATTCTATAGACAACCTATCCATCGATATTTAGTCTATTCTATAGACAACATATCGATCGATTTTTAGTCTATTCTATAGACAATACATCGATCGATATTTAGTCTATTCTATAGACAATACATCGATCGATATTTAGTCTATTCTATAGACAACATATCGATCGATATTCAGTCTATTCTATATACAAGTTATCGATCGATTTTTAGTCTATTCTATAATAAGATATTTGTCCCCTATGTTAAATAGTATATGTAATAATAACTTCAGCAGTGATGCACATGGGGCGTATACCTATATAAATACTTGTAAAATCTTATATTGTAATATGGGTATGTAATGTAAATTAAAATTTGATTAATGGAAGTATGAAGGCATTTCCTTACTTTGTCGGTATACATTTATTATATGAATTATTTAACTATAAATTTTTAACAATCATTCTTATAACATTAATTATTTACAAATTGATTTCAAAACAAAATTCCTTTTCTATGACAAGCAGCAAATAATGCATTTAACTTCTAAGAAAATTTGTTTTAATTTCTTAGAAAATCTTAACATATTTTATTCCAATAACTTATAAATCAAACAGAATATGTATTCATTTTTAAAATTCACAAACAAACGGCAAAGTTCAAATAGAAAAGTATGAAAATAGAGATTATTTTGTTCAGTTTTTTATAGTTCAAGCTTTAGTGTTCGAGAAAGTGACATTAATTCAGTGATTTAGCGTAAAAATGAGTGCACACTACTACTACTACTACTGAACAAAAAAAAGCAACAATATAAATAATAATAAAAAAATAGAATATAAAAAGCAGAACAAAAAATAATAAAAATAATAGATGATAATAAAATAAAAGTATCACATCATCATCATCATTTCATACATAAACCAGGTACAAAATTTATTGTAAAAAAAACTTATGACTTAAACTATGACTACAACTAAATTGACTGACAACTGTGCCTCCAGTGAATGACTGATGAACTGAATATATGATGATGTTTGCTAAACGTCATCATCATCATCATGATCATCAACATATTGTTCTCAATTTGTATTGCGCGAAAAATATAGTGTTGGAAATAATTAAATAAACTCTACATGTTGGATTTTCATATAATTTTTTGTCAGTTGAAATTGAAAATAATGTTGAAAAAACAAAAAAAAACAGCATGTTAATAAAATATTGTTATTTTAACAAAAGAAAACAAATAATTGTATTGTTTGCATATATAAAACAAAAATTTGGTCAGTAGTACAATATTTGTTCCAAAAATAGAAATCGCCAACAAGAACAAAATTACAAACATTGTTGGCTATTTGCCATATTTAGGTGTTATTTTCGTATTCGATATGAATTAAATGATAATTTTTAAAATCTACAGAAGACAAAAATTGCTGCTAGAATACAAATATTTTGTTATTCAGTAACTTGTCTATAGAATAGACTACATATCGATCAATATCTTGTATTTAATTAAGACTAAATATAGATCGATATCTTGGTTTTAGAATAGACTAAATATCGATTGATATATTGTCTATAGAATAGAACAAATATTGATCGATATCTTGTGTAAATATCGATCAATATCTTGTCTATAATAAAGACTTAATATCGATAATATCTTGTTTATAGAATATACTAAATAAAGATCGATATCTTGTCTATAGGACAGACTAAATATTGATCAATATCGATAATATCTTGTCTATAGAAAAGACTAAATATTAATCGATATTGTGTCTATAGAAGAGAGTAAATATCGATCGATATATTGAGTATAGAATAGACTACATACCGAACGATATCTTGTCTATAGAATAGTCTAAATGTCGATCGATATCTTGTCTGTAGAAGAGACTTAATATCGATCGATATTTAGTCCATACTATAGACAAGATATCGGTCAATATCTAAATATCGATCGATATCTTGTCTATAGATTAGACTCAATATAGATCGATATCTTGTCTACAGAATAGACTCAATATCGATTGATATCTTGTCTATAGAACACACTAAATATCGGTCGGTATCTTGTCTAAAGAATAGACTAAATATCGATCGATATCATGTCTGTAGGATAGACTAAATATCAATCGATATCTTGTGTATAGAATGGAATAAATATCGATCGATATTTTGACTAAATATCGACCAATATCGATAATATCTTGTCTATAGAATAGACCAAATATCGATCGATATTTTTTCTATAGAACAGAGTAAATATCGATCGATATATCGTGTATAGAATAGACTACATACCGAACGATATCTTGTCTATAGAATAGTCTAAATGTCAACCGATATCTTGTCCGTAGAAGAGACTTAATATCGATCGATATTTAGTCCATTCTATAGACAAAATATCAACCAATATCTTGTCTATAGACTAGACAAAATATCGATCGATATCTTGTCTATAGAGTAGACTCAATATCGATCGATATCTTGTCTATAGAACAGACTAAATATCGATCGATATCTCGTCTAAGGAATAGACTCAATATCGATCGGTATCTTGTCAGTAGTATAGACTAAATATCGATCGATATCTTGTGTATAGAATGGACTAAATATCGGTCGATATCTTGTCTAAAGAATGGACTAAATATCGATCGATATCTTCCCTGTAGGATAGACTTAAGATTAGATTTGACGATAAAATATTGATCGATAACTTTGCTTTAATAACTTTTATTTTTAAAGAATCTTCTCTATTAGTTTCAAATCTTTTCCTATCTAAATTTTGACCCAAAATTATTAAAGAAACCTTTAATTATTACACCCAGTGAAACCTAGAAAACAAAACACAATACATATAATTTGTTATAAAGAAAGACGAAATCTCTTGCTTTTGACACCAAAAAGTAAAATTTAAAAACATATTTCTTTGACTTGAAAAAAAAAACAACAGTTTAGTAGCATTTGTGAAAGCCTGAGAAAAATATTAGAAAACTAAATGTACGTATAGAAAAATAACAATAATAATTAAAAAAATAAGTCAATTATAAAATAAAGTTTTTCAATGTAACAGAAAACAAAAAAAAGACACAATAGAAAAAAAAATCTTAAAAAAGCTAAAAAAAATAAATAAATAAAAAAACCAAAAGAGTAATAAACTTACCGCATTTATAAATAATGTGACTAAAAGCAGTTGCACAATTGTGGCCACCTGCCACCTTCTGTTGTTGCAGTTGAGGCGGCGGCGCGGATGGTTATTGTTGCTCTGTAGTTGACACAGCATGGCAGGTTTGTTTCTTAAGTCTTTTGTTTTACTTAGTAATTTTATTTTCTAGATTTGTTTTTGCTGCTGTAAAAAATATATAATTTTTTTGTTTGATGTTTTTTTTTTACTATTTTAACAATAAATCCGGTTAGAACAATCTTGTAAATTTTTTTTTTCGTTACTGTTGTCAGTTGTATCGACTTGTGTTTACTAAAGCGTACTAAATAATTATTTTTGTTATTGTTGTTATTTATTTATGATGATTATACGAGTGTACATAATAACTAATTGCAGGTTAAATCATAATATTTTCACAAATTCTAGTTGACTTTGTTTAAATAATGAGTAAATCTGATGGTTTTGTTAAATAAATATGATTTATTTATTAATTCAATGCATGCGTTTGTTCCTCTGTGTTTTTTTTTATTCACAAATTTGCCTTTTTGCTTATTGCCTTTAAAGTTTATAAACAACAATGATAAATAAGTTATAAGAATAATAAAATGAAATGGAAAAAAATACAATAATTTAATTATAAATTCGTTTTGCAATAATATTTTTTATTAGCAATGCATTCATTGCTCATTTATAGCATTTACTACTATAAGATGTGCGCTGATATTGTGGCCATAAATTGAAATGGAATCTAAGTATTCATCATCATAAGTTAAGAGTGTTTGTGTGTTTGTAGTTTTATTTCCTAGTATCAAATTCACTTGAAGTATTTATCGTTTTGAAATATTAACAATGTGTTAGAAATATTGTGTGTTCGCTTGTGGTTACTAGAATCTTTAATAATTTCCTTTGGTTAGAAATTTTATAAAAAAATGTTATTGCTACATTTGTATTAAGTTTGCTTAAAGTTGTGCAAATTAATTTTTTTGCTTGTTTTTGCTCAATTTTCTTATAATTTAGTTTTAAGTAATCTTGTGTGTTTCAAAATCGTTTGCTTATTATTGAAGTTGTTAAAGCAAGTTTGGCAAATTTAAAACGAAACAATATGTGTCATTTATAATTTGTTTAATAATTGGTTTGGCTTTATTCGCTTGATTGATTAGCTGCTGAAACTTTTTATTGTTAAAAAGTTTTCAAAATTTTCAGTTTCATTAGGAAATTGTTTCATAAAATCACTCAAACAATATGTGTCGTTTAAAAGCAAATAATGTTTAAATTTTATTGCAATTTCCTTGCTTTATAAATATAACCGAATAGTCGAATAGAGTGATAAAAACTTTTATTTTGAAATTTTCAATTTGAGCACATAAGACAAATATTATTATTTATCATATTTGATTAATCGGATCTTATTTATTTAAATACAATTTGTAAATTCTTTTAATCGAATATTTTTATTCGCACAAAAATATTAAATAAAATTCTCTAAAAACGCAATAGAAATATGAAAATAATATTCGATTAATTGATTTTTTTTATAAAAACCTACAATTTTGTTCTAGCTTCAGTTCTAGTTATAGTTCAATTCTATTTCAGTTCTAGTTCAGTTCTAGTTCAGTTCTAGTTCAGTTCTAGTTCAGTTCTAGTTCAGTTCTAGTTCAGTTCTAGTTCAGTTCTAGTTCAGTTCTAGTTCAGTTCTAGTTCAGTTCTAGTTCAGTTCTAGTTCAGTTCTAGTTCAGTTCTAGTTCAGTTCTAGTTCTGTTCTAGTTCAGTTCTAGTTCAGTTCTAGTTCAGTTCTAGTTCAGTTCTAGTTCAGTTCTAGTTCAGTCTAGTTCAGTTCTAGTTCAGTTCTAGTTCAGTTCTAGTTCAGTTCTAGTTCAGTTCTAGTTCAGTTCTAGTTCAGTTCTAGTTCAGTTCTAGTTCAGTTCTAGTTCAGTTCTAGTTCAGTTCTAGTTCAGTTCTAGTTCAGTTCTAGTTCAGTTCTAGTTCAGTTCTAGTTCAGTTCTAGTTCAGTTCTAGTTCAGTTCTAGTTCAGTTCTAGTTCAGTTCTAGTTCAGTTCTAGTTCAGTTCTAGTTCAGTTCTAGTTCAGTTCTAGTTCAGTTCTAGTTCAGTTCTAGTTCAGTTCTAGTTCAGTTCTAGTTCAGTTCTAGTTCACTTCTAGTTAAGTTCTAGTTCAGTTCTAGTTCAGTTCTAGTTCAGTTCTAGTTCAGTTTTAGTTCAGTTCTAGTTCAGTTCTAGTTCAGTTCTAGTTCAGTTCTAGTTCAGTTCTAGTTCAGTTCTAGTTCAGTTCTAGTTCAGTTCTAGTTCAGTTCTAGTTCAGTTCTAGTTCAGTTCTAGTTTAGTTCTAGTTCAGTTCTAGTTCAGTTCTAGTTCAGTTCTAGTTCAGTTCTAGTTCAGTTCTAGTTCAGTTCTAGTTCAGTTCTAGTTCAGTTCTAGTTCAGTTCTAGTTCAGTTCTAGTTCAGTTCTAGTTCAGTTCTAGTTCAGTTCTAGTTCAGTTCTAGTTCAGTTCTAGTTCAGTTCTAGTTCAGTTCTAGTTCAGTTCTAGTTCAGTTCTAGTTCAGTTCTAGTTCAGTTCTAGTTCAGTTCTAGTTCAGTTCTAGTTCAGTTCTAGTTCAGTTCTAGTTCAGTTCTAGTTCAGTTCTAGTTCAGTTCTAGTTCAGTTCTAGTCTAGTTCAGTTCTAGTTCAGTTCTAGTTCAGTTCTAGTTCAGTTCTAGTTCAGTTCTAGTTCAGTTCTAGTTCAGTTCTAGTTCAGTTCTAGTTCAGTTCTAGTTCAGTTCTAGTTCAGTTCTAGTTCAGTTCTAGTTCAGTTCTAGTTCAGTTCTAGTTCAGTTCTAGTTCAGTTCTAGTTCAGTTCTAGTTCAGTTCTAGTTCAGTTCTAGTTCAGTTCTAGTTCAGTTCTAGTTCAGTTCTAGTTCAGTTCTAGTTCAGTTCTAGTTCAGTTCTAGTTCAGTTCTAGTTCAGTTCTAGTTCAGTTCTAGTTCAGTTCTAGTTCAGTTCTAGTTCAGTTCTAGTTCAGTTCTAGTTCAGTTCTAGTTCAGTTCTAGTTCAGTTCTAGTTCAGTTCTAGTTCAGTTCTAGTTCAGTTCTAGTTCAGTTCTAGTTCAGTTCTAGTTCGTTCTAGTTTCAGTTTCTAGTTCAGTTCTAGTTCAGTTCTAGTTCAGTTCTAGTTCAGTTCTAGTTCAGTTCTAGTTCAGTTCTAGTTCAGTTCTAGTTCAGTTCTAGTCAGTTCTAGTTCAGTTCTAGTTCAGTTCTAGTTCAGTTCTAGTTCAGTTCTAGTTCAGTTTCTAGTTCAGTTCTAGTTCATTTCTAGTTCGTTCTAGTTCAGTTCTAGTTCAGTTCTAGTTCAGTTTCTAGTTCAGTTCTAGTTCAGTTCTAGTTCAGTTCTAGTTCAGTTCTAGTTCAGTTCTAGTTCAGTTCTAGTTCAGTTCTAGTTCAGTTCTAGTTCAGTTCTAGTTCAGTTCTAGTTCAGTTCTAGTTCAGTTCTAGTTCAGTTCTAGTTCAGTTCTAGTTCAGTTCTAGTTCAGTTCTAGTTCAGTTCTAGTTCAGTTCTAGTTCAGTTCTAGTTCAGTTCTAGTTCAGTTCTAGTTCAGTTCTAGTTCAGTTCTAGTTCAGTTCTAGTTCAGTTCTAGTTCAGTTCTAGTTCAGTTCTAGTTCAGTTCTAGTTCAGTTCTAGTTCAGTTCTAGTTCAGTTCTAGTTCAGTTCTAGTTCAGTTCTAGTTCAGTTCTAGTTCAGTTCTAGTTAGTTCTAGTTCAGTTCTAGTTCAGTTCTAGTTCAGTTCTAGTTCAGTTCTAGTTCAGTTCTAGTTCAGTTCTAGTTCAGTTCTAGTTCAGTTCTAGTTCAGTTCTAGTTCAGTTCTAGTTCAGTTCTAGTTCAGTTCTAGTTCAGTTCTAGTTCAGTTCTAGTTCAGTTCTAGTTCAGTTCTAGTTCAGTTCTAGTTCAGTTCTAGTTCAGTTCTAGTTCAGTTCTAGTTCAGTTCTAGTTCAGTTCTAGTTCAGTTCTAGTTCAGTTCTAGTTCAGTTCTAGTTCAGTTCTAGTTCAGTTCAGTTCTAGTTCAGTTCTAGTTCAGTTCTAGTTCAGTTCTAGTTCAGTTCTAGTTCAGTTTAGTTCAGTTCTAGTTCAGTTCTAGTTCAGTTCTAGTTCAGTTCTAGTTCAGTTCTAGTTCAGTTCTAGTTCAGTTCTAGTTCAGTTCTAGTTCAGTTCTAGTTCAGTTCTAGTTCAGTTCTAGTTCAGTTCTAGTTCAGTTCTAGTTCAGTTCTAGTTCAGTACTAGTTCAGTTCTAGTTCAGTTCTAGTTCAGTTCTAGTTCAGTTCTAGTTCAGTTCTAGTTCAGTTCTAGTTCAGTTCTAGTTCAGTTCTAGTTCAGTTCTAGTTCAGTTCTAGTTCAGTTCTAGTTCAGTTCTAGTTCAGTTCTAGTTCAGTTCTGGTTCAGTTCTAGTTCAGTTCTAGTTCAGTTCTAGTTCAGTTCTAGTTCAGTTCTAGTTCAGTTCTAGTTCAGTTCTAGTTCAGTTCTAGTTCAGTTCTAGTTCAGTTCTAGTTCAGTTCTAGTTCAGTTCTAGTTCAGTTCTAGTTCAGTTCTAGTTCAGTTCTAGTTCAGTTCTAGTTCAGTTCTAGTTCAGTTCTAGTTCAGTTCTAGTTCAGTTCTAGTTCAGTTCTAGTTCAGTTCTAGTTCAGTTCTAGTTCAGTTCTAGTTCAGTTCTAGTTCAGTTCTAGTTCAGTTCTAGTTCAGTTTAGTGCAGTTCTGGTTCAGTTTTGGTTCAGATCTACTTCAAGTTCAGTTCTAGTAAATTCTCCATTTTACGAAAAAGTTATCGATAACTTCTCTATTTTATAGAAAAGTTAAGTTAAATTTACCGATATCATTCACAAACCCCTTTAATAAATCAATTTGCGAACACTTTCAATTTCAATGATTTCGTTTGCCTTAAATTTCGTATAACCGATTAATTTTAAACACAATCATTTTTTTTAACGTTTCACCTCAAATTAATTAATCAAACAAATAACAGCCATATTTGTTGCCAACAAAAAAAATACAAAAAAACATTTGTAATGCCAAAAATATTTTCACAAATTTTATGAAAAATATTCACGTTCTACTATGAAAATGATCTTCATGGCAGACAGACAAAAAAATCGAAAACAAAAGCAATAGATTTCATTCCAGCCAAAAACGGTGCCATATTCTAATTAAACACTTTTGATGATTACAGACATAAAAAAATTTGTTGTTTATAATTAAGAGACGTTCGATCGTTCATATATAATTAATTGTCAGCTCAGGTAGTTTCAAGCTCACATCCATATGTTGCTTAAAGACCTGGTTGAAAATGGGGAAATATGGTTAGAGGTGTAGGTACATAGGAGAATGCAAAAAAACTTTAAATTAATTGCAAGGCTTGTCGAATTTAAGAGATGACTCATAATTTAATCTTAGAAAAAAATTGAAAACAAAAAGTGAATCTTTATTTGTCGTATACAGAATAGAATAAAGAGACAAATTCTGGTATACATAGAGATGGGTGAACTCTACAAAAGAGCCATAAAACAAATAACCCAATAAACGTTAAATTTAGAAAGAAACAAGCTAATAATTTATTATTTAAAAAATATAACAAATATTATAAACTAAACAATTTATTAAGTTATTGTGATTTTTTGTAGTTTTATTTCATTTGTTTTTTTTTTTCTTCTTCTTTTAAAGTATTACAAAATTTTAAAGATTCATTTATTTATTTTTAATTTTTATACGTTTATTATAAACATGTGATGTCATAATATATACAATAAAATTTGTTAATAAAATTGGTTAAACAAAAATTTTGTAAATTTATTCAAGCAAACAAAATTGTTAAAAATTAACACATGCAAAATTTATATTTACTCTCAGACACACGCATAGCATTTAACCAAACTCTTCCATATTTCAACTCCCATTTACTCATTTTGTTGATAAGACTTTTAACAAACAACTCTTTCAAATATGGTCAACTCTTTTGAGGAGGAAGTTTTTTGTTCCTCTCTTTTGTCCACACATGTAATATTATTAATTTAGTTTTGAACAATTTATGTTCTTATGACAAATTTTAAATTCTGCAAAACTAAATTACAATTTTTTTAACTATATCTGATAATTTTTATGGGTTTTGCCTTAAAAACCATGTGTGTATAATAGTTTCTGTTTTTTTAAAACTATTTTCAATCTAAACTTTATTACTCCATCAACAGAATTTATTCTCTGTGACTAACTGAGCAAATATGAACAATAGCAGCAACAACAACTTTACGAGTAGAATCTACAAAACTTGATCTTAGCTAGAAAAAAGCTAAAAAAACAACGTCAAGATAGACTTAAAGTATACGCCACCAGTGAGATGTTTGAAAACAGTGTGGCTAACTTTAGAGGAAATTTAAATGACCGAGCGATTCTAGTTCAGATTTAGTTGAGTACAATTCTAGTTCAGTTCTAGTTCAGTTCTAGTTCAGTTCTAGTTCAGTTCTAGTTCAGTTCTAGTTCAGTTCTAGTTCAGTTCTAGTTCAGTTCTTCAGTTCAGTTCTAGTTCAGTTCTAGTTCAGTTCTAGTTCAGTTCTAGTTCAGTTCTAGTTCAGTTCTAGTTCAGTTCTAGTTTCTAGTTCAGTTCTAGTTCAGTTCTAGTTCAGTTCTAGTTCAGTTCTAGTTCAGTTCTAGTTCAGTTCTAGTTCAGTTCTAGTTCAGTTCTAGTTCAGTTCTAGTTCAGTTCTAGTTCAGTTCTAGTTCAGTTCTAGTTCAGTTCTAGTTCAGTTCTAGTTCAGTTCTAGTTCAGTTCTAGTTCAGTTCTAGTTCAGTTCTAGTTCAGTTCTAGTTCAGTTCTAGTTCAGTTCTAGTTCAGTTCTAGTTCAGTTCTAGTTCAGTTCTAGTTCAGTTCTAGTTCAGTTCAGTTCTAGTTCAGTTCTAGTTCAGTTCTAGTTCAGTTTCTAGTTCAGTTCTAGTTCAGTTCTAGTTCAGTTCTAGTTCAGTTCTATTCAGTTCTAGTTCAGTTCTAGTTCATTCTAGTTCAGTTCTAGTTCAGTTCTAGTTCAGTTCTAGTTCAGTTCTAGTTCAGTTCTAGTTCAGTTCTAGTTCGTTCTAGTTCAGTTTCTAGTTCAGTTCTAGTTCAGTTATAGTTCAGTTCTAGTTCAGTTCTAGTTCAGTTCTAGTTCAGTTCTAGTTTCAGTTCTAGTTCAGTTCTAGTTCAGTTCTAGTTCAGTTTAGTTCATTCTAGTTCAGTTCTTCAGTTTAGTTCAGTTCTAGTTCAGTTCTAGTTCAGTTCTAGTTCAGTTCTAGTCAGTTCTAGTTCAGTTCTAGTTCAGTTCTATTCAGTTCTAGTTCAGTTCTAGTTCAGTTTCTAGTTCAGTTCTAGTTCAGTTCTAGTTCAGTTCGAGTTCTTTCTAGTTCAGTTCTAGTTCAGTTCTAGTTCAGTTCTAGTTCAGTTCTAGTTCAGTTCTAGTTCAGTTCTAGTTCATTCTAGTTCAGTTCTAGAGTTCAGTTCTAGTTCAGTTCTAGTTCAGTTCTAGTTCAGTTCTAGTTCAGTTCTAGTTCAGTTCTAGTTCAGTTCTAGTTCAGTTCTAGTTCAGTTCTAGTTCAGTTCTAGTTCAGTTCTAGTTCAGTTCTAGTTCAGTTCTAGTTCAGTTCTAGTTCAGTTTCTAGTTCAGTTCTAGTTCAGTTCTAGTTCAGTTCTAGTTCGTCTAGTTCAGTTCTAGTTCAGTTCTAGTTCAGTTCTAGTTCAGTTCTAGTTCAGTTCTAGTTCAGTTCTAGTTCAGTTCTAGTTCAGTTCTAGTTCAGTTCTAGTTCAATTCTAGTTTAGTTCGAGTTTAGTTTTAGTTCAGTTGTAGCCGAAGGGATTAGACACTAATATTCGATTTTTGAAAATATCTTCGAAAGAAAGAAAACTGCCAGTAAATGAGAATCCTGAAGCTTTTGACAATCAGAGTGTTTTTGAAAATCAAAGAGTTCAAGGTGTTAAATAATTTAAAATTATTTATTACAATTTTTTAAAGATTTTTTAGTAGAAATTTTAAATAATTTTTAATGACATATCCAAGATATTTTTACATTTCAAAAATAAGAGATTAAGTTAAACTTCATTTATTAAGAAAAAATTTGAAAGATAATAAGATTTTTTATTAAATTTATTCAAAGAAATTTATGATTTTTAGAACATTTTCCAAAATTAAGTAAAAATTCAGTTCTAGTTTCAAATTGTATGCAAATTCTTAGATAAATCCCTGGAACATTAATAACTTTTATGAATTACAAAAAACTCAAAAATACCCGCTAAATTAGCATCGGTTTTTTTAATGAATTATACAAAAACAACAAGAAAATGCACACACTCAGCAACAACAAGAAACAAACACTCTACAATAAATACCACCAACACAATTTCACACATACAAAAAAATGTCCGTCCATCCGACAGACAGATAAACTCTCAATCTCCACAAACCAACTTTTGAATCTGACAGATACCAACACTACAACGAAATGAGTAAATAAATATGAACGAACGAACGTCAACAAGCAATTTACAAAATGGCAATGAAATACAACAATAGATGAGATACTTTTTGTTTTTGTTAATTTTTTTTTTTAATTTAACAATTGTTTTTTCTAAAATTGCATTAACAGTTAGATAAATTAATTTACTTTTTAAACAATTTATATTAAAATAATCAATGATTCGCTATACAAATTTGTTTATCGAAGAGATTTTATTTGTTTTTTTCTCAATTTCGTACTTTTTTTTCTTATTAATAAAATTCGTTCGCAAGACTTTAAGGCCGTTTTATATTTTCTTTAGCTTCCACAATTTTGTTAACCTTTTCGTTTGACCGTCACGATAAAACTGTTTTCATCTATATTTGTTGTCGCGGGTTTAAGCCAAGTTTTTAGTTTAAGTTTTTTGTTTGCTCGTAGAACTACAAAGTTGCCAGTTTGTTTGTTTAGATAAAATTGTTAATACATTTGAATGTTAAATGTCTGGTACCTCTGTTATAACATTGTCAGTGTATAAAATTGTTTATAACAGAGATGCATAAAATGATGCATAAAATTTATAACAAGTAATTTGTTTATAACAGCAAAAGTGAGTTTTGTCAGCAACTGTTATACATGGTAGCAGGGACACCATTCTTTAAGCCTTCCGTAGTCAAGCCACGAACACCAAATTAATTTAATTTAGAAACATCGGAGGGCGCTGCAGAATTAAAACATAGATACACCTGCGTCTTCATTAACAGCCTTCAAGCAAATTTATGTTAACACATTTTTTTTTGAAATTTATTTATTGAACTAGAACTAGTTAAGTTTCAGTTCAATTCTAGTTCAGTTCTAGTTCAATTCTAGTTCTAGTTCAGTTCTAGTTTAATTTCTAGTCTAGTCAGTCTAGTTCAGTTCTAGTTCAGTTCTAGTTCAGTTCTAGTTCAGTTCTAGTTCAGTTCTAGTTCAGTTCTAGTTCAGTTCTAGTTCAGTTCTAGTTCAGTTCTAGTTCAGTTCTAGTTCAGTTCTAGTTCAGTTCTAGTTCAGTTCTAGTTCAGTTCTAGTTCAGTTCTAGTTCAGTTCTAGTTCAGTTCTAGTTCAGTTCTAGTTCAGTTCTAGTTCAGTTCTAGTTCAGTTCTATTTCAGTTCTAGTTCAGTTCTAGTTCAGTTCTAGTTCAGTTCTAGTTCAGTTCTATTTCAGTTCTAGTTCAGTTCTAGTTCAGTTCTAGTTCAGTTCTAGTTCAGTTCTAGTTCAGTTCTAGTTCAGTTCTAGTTCAGTTCTAGTTCAGTTCTAGTTCAGTTCTAGTTCAGTTCTAGTTCAGTTCTAGTTCAGTTCTAGTTCAGTTCTAGTTCAGTTCTAGTTCAGTTCTAGTTCAGTTCTAGTTCAGTTCTAGTTCAGTTCTAGTTCAGTTCTAGTTCAGTTCTAGTTCAGTGTCTAGTTCAGTTTCTAGTTCAGTCTAGTCAGTTCTAGTTCAGTTCTAGTTCAGTTTCTAGTTCAGTTCCAGTTCTAGTTTCAGTTCTAGTCAGTTCTAGTTCAGTTTCTAGTTCAGTTCTAGTTCAGTTCTAGTCAGTTCTAGTTCAGTTCATAGTTCAGTTCTAGTTCAGTTCTAGTTGCAGTTCTAGTTCCGTTCTAGTTCAGTTCTAGTTCAGATCAGTCTGTTCAGTACTAGTTCCGTTCGGTTCTAGTTTAGTTCTATTCAGTTCAAGTTCAATTCAGGTTCTGTTTTTAGTTCCATTTTCCAATTTAGTTCTTTGTTCTGTTATGTCATTCTTTAATAATGTAGTAAAAGCTCAATAAGGATTACTTTATACCAAGAACTTCATGCAAATTTTCAAACACTTTCTACATATATAGATAAATACCTTAAGGAACAGCCTAAATTTCTCGAAATGATAAAGGTAACAACTAAATATATGAATCGATTTTACATACAACAATAAAATGTATTTACAATAACTCAAACATGCGCATTTCGGAAAAAAACACTCTTCCACACTCTCTTCTGAAACTCTCTATATCTATTGATAGTACAAGTTGTACTATAATCTCATACCAAACGTTATTAACAACTAAGATGGTTTCCTGTTTTAAGGGCAAAGTTAACAAACGGTAGTAGTCACAACAATTATTATTATTTAATTCTAATTCTGGAACCAATTTACAAATAATAACTAACACAAGTAAAATATACTTTAACAATTATGTTGTAGATATAGACGTCAATTTATTTTAAAAACAACGACAAACTAATCGAATGTCAATCAATTAGAATCCTGCTGACACCGTCTTTACCACACTCGCTACAACGAAGTGCCGTCTAACAAATGTGCCACACAATAGAGCACTAGTGATAGACAGCAACCCTTAATGTATTTTTGTTGTAACCACTATGAATGGACTTATAGAGAAGAGACCAGACTAAGCCGCTAAAAAAGCTCAAAAATGTATCGCAATGTATTTTATACATACAGCCAAGTGTAACAGTTAAAAATTTCTTTCAAACATTTCACTCAGTGAAATTTTATCACCGACGAAGCAAGTTGAATTCTCCTATCCTGGAAAAAAAAATTAAGAAAAGAAAATTTTCCAACCCAAAACGGACTAAAAGTGAATTTTTGAACAAATAATAGAATAAATTTAAATAAATTTAACAAAAAATAGTTATACATAACTTCTTTTAATCACAAAGTAAAAAAAAATAATTAAACAAAGTGTCTGTTTTTTTAGGTTTATATCTATATCCTAAAATAAAGTTTTAAAGTTTTAAGCAAAAATTTTTAAAAAAGTTACATTTTTTGCTAAAAAAAAAATCAATAGAAAAAAGTTATACAAACAAATTCGATTTGTCATTGCGAAGGAAAAACCCACGGTAATAAATTAGTTTTTTTTTTCTTACTTTTTTTAAGTGAAAAAAAATCGAAAGAAAGGGAAGAAGAAGAAATTTTGTCTATCGAAAAAATATTCTTAATGATAAAAAAAAAACGAAATTCACGCACTCACACATAACAAATGAAATCGTAATAATCGGTATAACTAAACAACTGTTTTTTTCTTGTAATTTTTTTTATTGTTTTTTGTATTTGTGTGTGTATTGCCCAAAAGGAAGTTAAAGGAAGTAAATGAAGTAAAAAAATGCTTAGATGTAGGATGACAGAGATGCCAACTGAGCGAGTATAGAGAGCGAGTATAAAAAAATTATGTATTTTAGATAATTTTGAGAAGTTATAAAAAAAGTCGCCTTTAAGAGTTAAATAGAACAGTTAGAAGTTTAACATTCGAAAGGGAGGAAGTCGTTTTGTAAGATTATTTTTATATTAAAACGTGTTTTAGTGAACTTTAAAGAGTTTGTTAAAGGAATTTAAAAAGGTTTAAGATTTTTTTAAGTTTCACAAAGTTTTGAAGTTTTTCAAAAAAATCACTTAAAACGTTTTAAGAATTTTCAAAATAAGTTTACTATTTTAATGTGACATTTATCTGCGTATATTTTCTTCTACCACATCTCTGTACGGGTGGAGTAAAAGCTATTGAATCCAATAAAACATTTTAAATCTGAGTACGACAATATAAATCGAGGTCCTTTAAATTCTCCATATCTTTACGCTTTCAACTTTTTCGTACATTCATATTCGGTCTAAAATGTTTTTTTTTTTTATGGAATTATCTGATGCAGAATAGATCAAGAAATGTTTAAGTTAAAAATCACTCTTCTCTGATTGGTGCATTGAACGCACGTCTCTTTAAAGAAAATTGAACTTTTTCGGATAAACGAACTAGATATACATTACATACCACCAATTTATGTCCAACATCCACAAACTATATTCTCTCTTTTCGGATATCTCTTAAGCTTCGGTTTTGCCAAAACCTTTACAGTTGTTGAAACATAAAGTTCCACAATAATAGTTTACGACAGTTTTTGTTCGACGAAACCGATCAACAAGATGTTTATCCATCTTGTTGATCGGTCGTATAAATCTCATTTAAATAATTTTCCTAAGATGTTACATTAAATCGCTAATCTAAATGCCTACTATTTCTCCCGTTTGGATACACCAATGACAGAGCTAAACCAAGTCGCGAGATTCAATAAGAATGAACTCTTTCGACTTTCACACTTCTTAAGCACTTCCAACACAACAACAAAATGTCTCATTGATTCTTTAAGAATCAAAACAGATTCAGGCCAACAAATTTTTAACCCAGAAACCTAAGTACTATTTTCTAATCGGTCAGAATCCGAATGTATTCTCGGAATTTTTCCATCATATCAGGTTTTTGAGATATCATGTTCACATTATTCGCCATATTTGAGATTTTAATACCGGGAAGACATAAAAATATGTGATGTAATCTGAAAGTGTAATCTGTACTCTTTAAAATAAAGGTTAAATCTCCTATATCTCGAAAAAGATATTACTGAAGTGATCCTGTCGCCTTCTTTGCTTAACTACCAGAATAAATAGAATATTTAATAAGCAAACGATTATAAGGTCCGTTGAAAACACATTTGTAGAGAATTCTGCACTTGAATGTCGCCTTAAAGCTATGGAAACCCATTTTGTTCCGCAATAGTGATGACAACTCCAATATTTAACAGGATCTGCAAAGACATTTGAGGTCTCCATACTTAACGCTTCGTTGTGTAACTTTTATTAATCGGAACATAACAAAAGTTATGTACTTTTTCCTTTTTACCACAGAACTGTTGGATCCAATGGAAATTTGATCCATGGCATGAAGTTCATACTGTGAATAACTAAAGCTCCGCAATCTTCTGTGTCGGTAACTACTTTTCAGATGATCCGCTAAGACATCTGAACTCTTTTATACTTATATCGCTTTTTTAACTCTTTGAACCATTAGAAGTAGAAAAAGTCTTAATTTATGTTGACTGAAAGATCCGTTAAATCGTCAGTATTTATCAAGAAACTTTCAATACGTTTTAAAGGAATCCGCAATCGCAGAAACGCTGTAAAACTTGCAATTGAAGATTGTCTGTGTGGAAAACAAAAGTGGTTCTCCTTCAATCGTGGTCGTGACAGAGCAGATGACCACGTGCCCCGTATAGAACCGACCATTTAGTCATTTAGTGAGATTTCGAAAAAAGCATGGAATGTCATTTTACTGACTTATTAATTGAAGAATAATCAACACTTAACAAGAACGCCCACTGGTCATTTATCCAAAAGTACTAATAGTTTCGAATCGATAGCATACGATCTGTTTCGAAATGTTCTCATATTTTTGTTCTATATTTCTTAATTTTCGCATATCTCATAAATTGTAAGAGTTAGAGTCCTCAAATGTTATATGATCAACTTTGATATCAATATGAATATATGAGGATAACATGGATAGCCAAGCTACAATGGGCATAGTTACACACATATAAAGAAAATCTGTAATTAATATATCTGAGAAAATATAACATCATTTTTTCGGAGGATAAAAACTGGTTTTATCAGCAATAGGGGGCGTGGCATCTCTTATTGCAATTAAATACTAAAATTCATTTATCTGGAAAACTATTGGAGTTAGAATCTTAAAATTTTGCACAAATATGAATGTATAGCAGAATATATAGAAAATGTGCAGATTTTTATAAGGGGGTCTTGGCACCTTCCATATGAATTAAATATAAAAATTGGCATATCTGAGAGACTATTAAAATTTTGCACGAACAACTTTGACATCCATATGAATATTTGGGTAATGAATTGGCGGACTAATTTTTAGGGGCGTGGGACCTTTCATATAAATTAAATACAAAAATTCGTTAATATAGGAAACTATTTGAGGTAAAATCTTCAAAAATCATAAAGTGAGTTTCTTATATATATTGATTTTAGGGTAGCAAAGCACACTGGGTTTAGCTAGTACATTAATAAAAATCGCTACATTAGCACATCTATTTATCGAGCAGTGTGAGTGAGAGTGTCTGTTTTTGACAGTGTATCAGTATTTCTAGTTGCGTGTGTATGTGAGAGTTTAGTTTCCATAGTAGTGCGCATTTGTATTTTTATTTCCCTTTTCACTGATAACAATAAATACAACCAGAGTACAACCATTAAAAATGAAATAAATAAAAATATAAAGAAAAATACATTTCACACGTATACACACCACGAAAATAAAATAAAAAATAAAAAAACGAATATAATGAAATGAATTAAAATAAAAAAGCGTTTTTCATTTATTTATTTTTATATGTCACTAGACTACCGTTTCATTGCAAAATTTTAACTTTGCATAAACATTTCGGTTATAAATTACGCTGCAGCACAATCCACAACACAACCAACCAACCACTTCCTGTTTAACTTTCCATATAAAGAAAAGGGGTGAGTAAAAATTGCATACTTTTTTGAAAACTCTTCTTTTATTATTATTGTACGTACTGGGTTTGTATGTCTGATTGTTGGACTGTTTATTTTACTCCCTGTACATGTGATATCATCACGACCAACAACAATATAGACAGAGGAACAGCATCATAGCATCATCATTAGAGATTATGTCAGTGATACTGAGGACTACTTGGCTAGAGAACGGATATGGCCTGTTTGTGTGGGTTGGTGTGTTGGTGTTAAAAAAAGAGAAAATTATGAATGCAAAACTGATGATTATGATTGAAGTTACATAAACTTATATAACAGCCAACAAGCTCAAGAAGTTAAATGTTTTTTTTTTTTTTTAGAGAATGATGATGGTCGCTGTGTTGGTCGTTGGTATGGAGTCTAACTGTCTGACTGTCTATTGTAGTAACTATCTGTATTTAACTGTTTTCCATCTGTCTTTTCAACTTGCAACACGTCCCTCTGTCTGCCTTTGTAATACATAGTTGCATATTTTGACATCATCACACGTACACTTACAGATACACACAGATACATTGTACTAACACTATGGGTGTGTATTTTTGTGCATGTATTGTAATAGTATTTTTGAATGCAAGTCCATGTGTATTTAGGCTACATGTATGTATGTTTATGTGTATATATAATGCAAAACTTTAGTTCATTGACCCCCTGGTATGTCATAGAACCATAAAACCAAAAGTGCCAACACTGAAGATGTTTCTACTTTTTCTTTTCTAAACGAGAAGAAAAAAAAACAGTCAAGTAGTTTTCGTCCTTTTGCTCTCATGCTCCTTAAAGAGTCTAAACTTTAATTAGTTAACCTATTTTTGTGAGGTTTCTTTATTTGATGACCAACTAGATAAATATTTATATTTGTTTCCTCAATTCGTTTGATTGCGCAAAAAGAAAAGGACTTTTGAACAAGCAAATTCTAATTGAATTGATTTTTATTTCCTTTTCCCCTTTTAGTCCAAGTAATCATGTACTTTAAATGAAAAGTTTTTATAAATAATTATAGTTGTATTCTTAAAGACTCTAGTATTATTTATTTGCTTTGTTATGTCCGCAACTTTATTGAAATTCTTTGCAAAATTTTAAATCAACAGTTCCCAAATTGTGTGAGTGAGGACCTCTGCGTGCACATAGCTACATTTCAGGAAGTTCGCGAGGACATCTAAAGTCTTATTCTTGTCTACATTGAACTTAAACTTTAGTAAATTAGTTGAATCCGAAGAAATACACCTAGGCCTCCAGCGGACCTATTGAGCGCTGGTTAGAATGGAACACCTATTTGACAGGCTAGAACACTAACTACTAATCTAAAGGAAGCACACCGTCTTAACTCCGAGAAGAATTGGAAGTGATAATTAATGGAAGTGATAACTATAGAATCCCCTGGATGGTACGTGATAGGGAGTCCAATTAAAATTAGCTTTGAAACCAAACTTCTATTCAGGAACCCTTGGGGTGCAGGCATGGGGGGTAATGATTACACAAAGTAATTAATTACAAGGTCAATTACAATTACTTGTAATGTGTAATTGAACAAATTAATTACATGTAATTTGTAATTAGTAATACCTAAATTACAATTACTTGTAATTGTGATTGAAATTTTTCAAATTACAATTACTTGTAATGTGTAATTGACAAATAACTAATTACAATTATTTGTAATTGTAATTGAAGTTTTGACAATTACAATTACTTGTATTTGTAATTGAAATTTTCAATTACAATTACTTGTAATTGTAATTTAGGTATTATTAATACAAATGTAAACATGTAATTATAAGGAACAAAATTCACAATTACAAGTAATTGTAATTTCTTCAATTACAATTACATGTAATTGTAATTGATAAAGCTTTAATTACAATTACTTCAAATGTAATTGTAATTGAAAATGTAGTCATTACCCCCCAAGCCTGTTGGGGTGGTAGTAATATTTATAAAGGTCCGAGAAGACATTTCACAAACTATATCTAAATCACTAAAAGTCGGGGATAATACACATATACAGTTGAAGACAGTAGAAACACTCTGGCGGTCTTATCGACATTTCCGCCTAATTCATATCTCCTTAAACAAGGAGAAACGAAAGTAATGATGTGGATAACTGTAGGGTCCGTAGTATGTTCGATGTATATAGGAACTGAGAATTACTTTAAGGTGCATATGATCTTTGGTATATGTATATAGAAACTTAAAACGATATTAAGGGAAAATTTCACGATCAAGGGACCGCATAAAACTCGCATACAAATATGAATGTTGCTCTCACACTATAAAAAACAGTGAGATCCGTAGCAATATTTCAGAGGGTTCGCAAAAACATCTCTGATAACTCTTTAACACAACAGGAAATTGAGAAGATGTGTGGAGTTGCGCAATATCGTATTAATTTTTCATACTTGAAGCAAAATCTACGTTAAGAATCCCTGCTTTAATCCCATTATATTTGGTATCGCCAATGCAACTCCTATAAAAAGACATAATATTTTTCCTTTTTATATTACTTTTCCTTCTAGTAAATAATTTTCCAAGAAAATAAATGAAATGGAAACCTTATTAAAAGATAATAAAATATTAAATCGTTTTTTTTTCTTTCTACTTTATTTAAGTGGCTGAGCTGAACTGGTTGGTTGTGATTATTATTTTAAAGAAACAAATCATTTAGAAAGTAATTTTCTTCGATAAAAGGTTAAAGTTGAAAACCAAAGTGTCATGGTGATGATGTTGTTTTCTATTTAAAATTACCTTTATAAAGTTATTTTTTGGGGGGTTATTAGCAAAGTGTTGATGTCATTTATTTGAAATTAATTTGGGTTTGTTCTAAATGTCAATCACTATTGTAATGAACTGTCAAATTTGAAGTATTTTTAGATATTTTATTGATATAAAGGTTTCCTGATAGTTATACGAAACGTTCTTTTTATACCCTTCACCTTCGCATATAGCATTCTTACTTGTTTATACTTTAACTATATATTTGTAAAATTTAAGAAATAATTCAGTAGTTTATCAAAATGTTAAAGAAAATTTGTAAAATAAAGAAAATAAATTTTTTCAGTCGAATTTTAAAGTTAAAGTTGAAAACCAAAGTGTCATGGTGATGATGTTGTTTTCTATTTAAAATTACCTTTATAAAGTTATTTTTTGGGGGGTTATTAGCAAAGTGTTGATGTCATTTATTTGAAATTAATTTGGGTTTGTTCTAAATGTCAATCACTATTGTAATGAACTGTCAAATTTGAAGTATTTTTAGATATTTTATTGATATAAAGGTTTCCTGATAGTTATACGAAACGTTCTTTTTATACCCTTCACCTTCGCATATAGCATTCTTACTTGTTTATACTTTAACTATATATTTGTAAAATTTAAGAAATAATTCAGTAGTTTATCAAAATGTTAAAGAAAATTTGTAAAATAAAGAAAATAAATTTTTTCAGTCGAATTTCTATAAAATTTGACAGTCCTAAGTAGGAAATCTATCCGGGAAATCAATCAATAAGGAAGCCCTAGGTTTATGAACAAATTCAAAACGATCCCGATTAATTACAATTAATCAGGTGCTCAGTAGATTCTGAGAATATCCGTCAGTCTGTCTGTTGAAAGCGTGGAAATCGAAACAAATATTGTCTATTGATTTAGTAATCGGTCTACAGGTGGTATAAGTAATATTTTTTCAAAGTGCGATTCCAAAACCGTTAGTTAGTTAGGTAGTAAGTTAGTTAGGTAGTAAGTTAGTTAGTTAGTTAGATAGTTAGTTAGTTAGGGCGGGTTTCTTACTACTCAGTTAAACTAGGCTTAACTTGCTGTTAGATTAAACTCGGAACAAATGTAGGCGGACTTTAACCGATGATTGTGTTTTTCAGTTATGGATTTAAGTTCAGTTAACTTTGTTAGTATTGCCAACTTTTCACTCAAAAATATAAACAATGAACAGCTGTTTTTTGCAAATAATACTTTTGTAAAATGAAAATTTTTGGAAAAATGTTAAATAAACATTTAAAACAATAGTAAATGAAACAAAACGAATCGGAAAATTGCAATTTACTTAAAATATTAAGTTTTTGTTCTTCCGAAATCAGTGTTTTATTGTTTTTATTAATTGTGTCTTCTCACTTATAATTTAAGTTTAATTGGCCAATAAACACTCAGTAAAACTAAGATAATAAGTAACGTTACTGTTTACTGAAAAACACAAAACATATATTAAACTAGGTTTAAACAAAGAATGTAGATTATCTTTATCTGAAAAACCCGCCCTTAGTTAGTTAGTTAGTTAGTTAGTTTGTGAGTTAGTTAGTTAGTTAGTTAGTTAGTTAGTTAGTTAGTTAGTTAGTTTGTTAGTTAGTTAGTTAGTTAGTTAGTTAGTTAGTTAGTTAGTTAGTTAGTTAGTTAGTTAGTTAGTTAGTTAGTTAGTTAGTTAGTTAGTTAGTTAGTTAGTTAGTTAGTTAGTTAGTTAGTAGTTAGTTAGTTAGTTAGTTAGTTAGTTAGTTAGTTAGTTAGTTAGTTAGTTAGTTAGTTAGTTAGTTAGTTAGTTAGTTAGTTAGTTAGTTAGTTAGTTAGTTAGTAGTTAGTTAGTTAGTTAGTTAGTTAGTTAGTTAGTTAGTTAGTTAGTTAGTTAGTTAGTTAGTTAGTTAGTTAGTTAGTTAGTTAGTTAGTTAGTTAGTTAGTTAGTTAGTTAGTTAGTTAGTTAGTTAGTTAGTTAGTTAGTTAGTTAGTTAGTTAGTTAGTTAGTTAGTTAGTTAGTTAGTTAGTTAGTTAGTTAGTAGTTAGTTAGTTAGTTAGTTAGTTAGTTAGTTAGTTAGTTAGTTAGTTAGTTAGTTAGTTAGTTAGTTAGTTAGTTAGTTAGTTAGTAGTTAGTTAGTTAGTTAGTTAGTTAGTTAGTTAGTTAGTTAGTTAGTTAGTAGTTAGTTAGTTAGTTAGTTAGTTAGTTAGTTAGTTAGTTAGTAGTTAGTTAGTTAGTTAGTTAGTTAGTTAGTTAGTTAGTTAGTTAGTTAGTTAGTTAGTTAGTTAGTTAGTTAGTTAGTTAGTTAGTTAGTTAGTTAGTTAGTTAGTTAGTAGTTAGTTAGTTAGTTAGTTAGTTAGTTAGTAGTTAGTTAGTTAGTTAGTTAGTTAGTTAGTTAGTTAGTTAGTTAGTTAGTTAGTTAGTTAGTAGTTAGTTAGTTAGTTAGTTAGTTAGTTAGTTAGTTAGTTAGTTAGTTAGTTATAAAATTTAATTATTACCTCTACTATCGGACAGGAATTCTAGCAAATAAATGTCTTTTGAGATGGAAGGGATTTCTTTCCATGTATAAACAGATGAATTTCGCTACCTATTGGGTCTCAGAACATACATACATACAATGAATCGACGCTAAAATAATCGAAGAATCAACTCTAAAAAGTCGCAAAGTCTGTCTACTTTTCATAAATTGCAAAAAGTCGGAAAATTGCCTTTTTTTTTTCAACAATAGAACCCTACTTTATAGGGTCGAAAAATTCTATTATGGAAATTACAAATGAAATGACAAACATATTCTTTCTCATGAAGGTGAAGGCATAAAAAGATTACAAACCAAAGTAGAGTTTCAATTAACACACTTTTCTCTCAAAGTGTATGTCAATCAATACTTAATTAGCATTAAAACAAATCCACATACATACTTTATGTATTTACATAAAAAAATACGCATTCAATGTTATAAATATATTTATTTATTTGTTTGTTTTCAATTTTGTAATCAATTTCAGTAACCTAAACAGCAACAGGCGACGACTGTATATTTTGCAAATTTGGGATTAAGCGATTTGGTGTGAAACTTAATAAGTGCTGAGAGCTCTGCTGATTGTGGCTGATTTAACTAGTTGCTGCTGCTACTGTGAATTTTAAAAACTAGGCCGTTTGCATTGCACTACTAACTGCAACATTTAAAAAATTTACAACGAAAAAAACAAAACAAAAAGTGATTTGAAAAGCGCAAAGGAAAAAATAACTATCGCGCGCCACTAAAAGAGTGAGCTCGCGTTTTCACGGTCAATATAAGTGCAATAGCAACTGCTGGGTGTGGGCGAATTTGCGCCCCGCCACCGGTAAGACACAATATTTAATCCTTTCAATCATTTTAGTTTTTATGTTTTTTTTTTTTCTTTTCATTTACATTTTTGTTTCATTCATCAACAACACAGCAATCAAAGTTAAATGTCTGTGCGTGTTCGTTGATTTAATGTGTGATTTTGTGACTTTTTTGGTTTGGTTTACATTTTTGTGTTTTTTCAATGATGTTTTTTTTTTTTGTTGTTTAAACTTAACCATATGTACAATGTAATTAGGGGCAGTTTTTTTTGTGGACTGTGGAGAACTCAGCTGTTTTGTTGTACCAAAAAAAAATACAGTAAAACTTGATTAAAATCAGTTAAAATAAAATTTTGTTTATCTGGATTATGTGAAAATTATTAATTCCCTGCAACAAAAAACTGTCCCGTTATATATATTACGATTTATATAACGCTTAACATATTGCACTTTTATATAATATTAATATTTTTCTGTTAAATTTTCTATATAATTTCTTTATAATGCCATTTTATTGATGATGACTTTAACATACATTTTTACTTTTGAAAGTTTATTATTTTTTTGATAAAACCTTTTTAGTTGATTGTGTTTCAATGTTAATAAAATCTACAGGTTACCGGAAATTAAATAAGAATACCGGATGTTTTTCTTTATAAACTAAGCAGGTGAAGTTGTCACATAAACCAAATCGTCCGCCATTTATACCTTTAAAAGGCGTTAATTTTACAGCAGACAACTAGAGAATAAATTTTATATAATTATTTTTTAAGCCTTTTAACATGATAAAATAAGTTATCGATTTATTCAGTTTGTTAAAGTTTGTTTAGGGATTTATAAAAAAGGATTGAAATTTTTTAGTTTTAGTTGCAAATTTAAGATTAGATTTTGTCCATACAAACTAATCTTTGTTGAGGAGGTCTTCTATTGCAGGCATCCTGCTCAAAACCATCGTTAGACAGTGGATTAGGATTTGTTTCTAACTTTGACAATTACCACTATCTTGCGATCCAAACGATGCCAAAGGTTAATGATCGCTGATGTTTAAGTTGGGATTTAAATCTCCAAGCTATTGTCTAATTTGTTGTATCCAACAAATCTCTTAACAACAGTTCTCAAGCAACATCAAAGTTCTCATCACTGTTCTCTTACCAGAGTTTTATTTGCTATGAACTTTCAGACTCTAGTAGGCTCGTGAATAGGGATACAATTAGATGAGGGTTGCCGTTATCAAAATGGATGGCGAAGGTCGACAGATTCATCCATAACTATTTTCAACTTCTGTAACTTTCATTCGCAAAGACCATTCGAAAGAACATAGAAGATCAAATTTGAGCGGAGCTAGTCTTCTCGAAGTCAATCCTTTGAGTAACGATCGAAGCTCCGCTCATGGAGCTTCGACTATTTAAAGATAATCTATCGACTCACGAACGAAGATAAAATTTGAGCGAAATAGTGTTTTGAATATGGAATAAATAGAAAACTGTTTGCCGATTAAATTTGAGGAGATGTGTTCTTCAAGAAGATCGAAATGAAAGTCATCTTACAGAAGATTTAAGACTTGTATGAGATTTGCTATGACGAGGCCATTAAAAGATCTATTAAAGGATCGATTTCTAGAAAATTGAAAGGGTGGAAAACTTTGTTAGCATTTAAGCTCCGTGTATACAATTTGAGGAGAATGGACCATGAGGATTATTTATCTGAGATTTAATTACGTTTCTCTGAGATTTTGTTTGGAACTTCTGTAACTTTAGTTCCCCAATGCCATAAGAAAGAAGATAATCTATCAGATAGTGATGAAGATAAAATTTCAACTAGCGATCGATGCACCTCTCACGGTGATCGAAAGAAAAAACTACTTTTTTATGATTAATCCAAATTGATTTGCGATTTGAATTCGAAATGCTGTAGCTATTTAAAGATAATCTATCGGCTCACGAACAAAGATAAAATTTAACGAAATAGTCTTCTCGAATTTTGAATAAAAAGAAAAGTTTTAGGAGATGTTTCTTTCAAGAATATCGGAATGAAAGACATCCTGCAGACGATTTACACTCGTCTGTATGAGAACAAAGATAGTTTTCTCGAAAATTGAAAGAGTGGAACATTTTGTTGGAATTTACGCTCGTCCGTTAAAATTTGAGAAGAAGTATTAATTACCTGAGATTTAATTACGTTTCCCTGAGATTTGTTTTCGAACTTTGGTAACTGGCCTTCGCAGAAACCATCGAAAACAAAGATAAAATTGGAACAGAACTAGTATTCTCGAAGATCGAAAGACTTACCCTCGTCTGACTGAGAGCAATCACAAACAATTTATGGCGAAGCGCTATAAGAGAAAGGAAATTGAGAGCGATATATTATCTGAGTTTTTTAGCTTTGCCTGGGAGCTTACATACCTGTAAAAGCAAAAAGCTCATATAAAGCTTTTTGCTGATCTTTAATATAGATCATTCTTCTTTTCTATCAGAATAGATGACTAAAAATAAGAATTTTACTAAACTTTAATAAAATTTAGAAAAAAAATCGATAACTTAACTTTAAATCACCAACCACTATAAAACATTTCATCCACCATTACTAAACTCATAATAAAAGAAAATTTAATAACTAAAATTTTATTATAAAAAACCCATTTTAAATCTTAACAAAAAACCCGAAAACTTAACAATTTTTACTAATTTAACTACAAAGACTGAAAAGCATATGAAATTTTAAAGCTTTTCCCCTACCTTTACGTATACATCCCCCACATAAGAAAGCCTAAGAAGAGTATTCAGTTAGTACTCCCGGAGCTTTCGTTTTTTTAATAATTTTTACCATCTTTGCTGGTTGTAAATTTTCATTTGAAGTATATAGAAGACATACAAATCGCCATATTTTGCAATTGATTTGTAAGATTTTCCTTACTTTTGCCTAAACTAAATAAACTATTTTCTATTTTAAACCAAATATTTCAAAATTTTATTTTATTTTATCAACTATTGAATTTTGAGTTTAAATTTCCTATTTTTATTCTGTTTTATTTGCAAGCAAACTGCACTTATAATTATTTAATCAACTGCAAATATTGAAATATATAAATTATACATTAATTAAAAACACAATATTTTTAAATTTACTTAAAACAACAACAACAGTAAGAAAAGTAAACAAACGTTTATCTCTATTCTATTTCTGTCTCGTTTTCTCTTTTACTTCCGTCTGTTTTTTATGTGCATTATATGATTTGACCACAAAATACAACCAATTTGTTGGTCTTGTTTTCTTTTGTTGTGTTTTGTTTTTTTTTACGTTTTGTTTTTCTTGTGTTTAAATTTCACCTTAAAAAGGAAGGAAACTAAAACCGGCACCCTGAATTTCTCATCGTTCAAAAGCAGTTTTACTTCCAATGTTAATTTCCTGAAGAGAAGGTAAAAACGTTAAAATTAAACAAAAAAAAAAAAATTATTGACCAACCCATCAGCTGAACTGTAAAGCACTAATTTAAAATTTCATATGGTTTTCAATTTTTCCTCTTTGTTTTTGTTCTTCTTTTTTTTGTTTTATCTCTCTCCCTGCTATTGTCTGAAATCTGAAATCTATCTCTTGTGATAATACACATTCATGCGTTTTCACCACCTGCAATTTGTATAATAATAAAAAACTTGCTATAATCGTCATTATAACATGGCCATACGTATAGATTTAGCTCGGGAGATTTGTCTTCCGAGCACGATGATATCGATCCCAATGACTTACCGCCAGCAGCTCGACCCATACAGGAACAACCAACGAACCTGTGGTTGCTGCGCTGGCGGTGGACCACCAAATATGCCACCACCAACGGCCCCAGGATCAGCGGGCATACCACCACAGCCTCAAGGTGCGGCGCCAGATTTCTCGTTGAGTTTTGGCAAATCCGCAGGTACTACTGCTGCGGCAACGACCGGCTCAGCACCAGCTGGAGCAGCGGTACCACCACGTGGCGTAAGTGCTCCCACTAGTCCAGCTAAGTCACGTGAGAGCTTGTTGCAACGTGTTCAAAGTTTGACAGGGGCAGCACGAGATCAAGGCGCTTCGATATTGGGTATATACACTTTTAGTTTTTTTCTTCTAAATACTTTAATTCGCATGCTTTTTTTCTGGCAACAGTTGTGTTGAAAATAATAGCAGTGAGATTTCTAGTCATTCATAATGAAAATTTTACATGAAAATTCAAAACATTTATGTTTTAATAATACTCTCGACTTCCGTCCACTTTCTAGTAATGATTGTTCTCTCTAAGAGAGTTAAACCCCTAAGACTATTGCTCTACAAAAAAAGGCATTTTATCAATCACCAATATCGACAGAATATGAAAACTGAGGAAAGTTTTTAGTCCTCTCTGGCGAACTGGCTAATTAAGACCGACAACTGTAGAGTCTTAAATTATGTCGAAATTATATACTTTAGATGTATTAAGGCAAAACCTAACATAAACACTACTCACGAGCCATAGATCTAGAGTTTATGGATTACAAACAAACATTACTCTTTTTAATTATCTTGATACATACATATGACTACTTTAAACAGACTCTTAAGGCACCTTCTGTCACAATTTATTTTTAATTTTCTATCCCAGATATTTGCAAAACACGAATCCTTAATAATCCTCTTAGTCATACTTTCGAGAAGTTTCCTATTTAAAATCATCAAAATGAGAAAAATAAGAATTTTTCTAATTTTGATTATTTTTTTCAGAAACTATATCAACTATTTGTAACAAGTCTTTTTAGTTCAAATTTCCTAAAGGTCCCATACATATTTACATACTACCGAAAAATGGATTTATTGTTAATAACTCGCCCTATAATATCGGTATTACCACAACTTTGCACAGATGAATCTCATATCAGTAAAAATCATAGTATCAACTGAAACCTACTTCCAAAAGCCTATTAACGAACATAATTCATTAACAATAAAAATATAGGGACAAAATTTAGCACAATTATTGACTTTGTCAAAATCGGCCAATATTTGGTCATATATTACATATAAAGACTACTTTCGAAGATGACTAACGAACCTGCTAAATTGAGGTCACTCCGCATACAAGCGTAAAGAGCACTCATTTTGTTTTCAAAAGGAGGGTCCACGTCTGCATACATAGAATACTAAACAGATCAGATTGGGATTACCTTTAATGGATCTGGTACTCCAAGATAGTTAGCTAGGTAGTTAGTAGTTAGTTAGTAGTTAGTTAGTTAGTTAGTTAGTTAGTTAGTTAGTTAGTTAGTTAGTTAGTTAGTTAGTTAGTTAGTTAGTTAGTTAGTTAGTTAGTAGTTAGTTAGTTAGTAGTTAGTTAGTTAGTTAGTTAGTTAGTTAGTTAGTTAGTTAGTTATTAGTTAGTTAGTTAGTTAGTTAGTTAGTTAGTTAGTTAGTTAGTTAGTTAGTAGTTAGTTAGTAGTTAGTTAGTTAGTTAGTTAGTATTAGTTAGTTAGTTAGTTAGTCGTTAGTTAGTTAGTTAGTTAGTTAGTTAGTTAGTTAGTTAGTTAGTTAGTTAGTTAGTTAGTTAGTAGTAGTTAGTTAGTTAGTTAGTTCGTAGTTAGTAGTTAGTAGTTAGTTAGTTAGTTAGTTAGTTAGTTAGTTAGTAGTTAGTTAGTTAGTTAGTTAGTTAGTTAGTTAGTTAGTTAGTTAGTTAGTTAGTTAGTTAGTTAGTTAGTTAGTTAGTTAGTTAGTTAGTTAGTTAGTTAGTTAGTTAGTTAGTTAGTTAGTAGTTAGTTAGTAGTTAGTTAGTTAGTTAGTTAGTTAGTTAGGTAGTTAGTTAGTAGTTAGTTAGTTAGTTAGTTAGTTAGTTAGTTAGTTAGTTAGTTAGTTAGTTAGTTAGTTAGTTAGTTAGTTAGTTAGTAGTTAGTTAGTAGTTAGTTAGTTAGTTAGTTAGTTAGTTAGTTAGTTAGTTAGTTAGTTAGTTAGTTAGTTAGTTAGTTAGTTAGTTAGTTAGTTAGTTAGTTAGTTAGTTAGTAGTTAGTTAGTTAGTTAGTTAGTTAGTTAGTTAGTTAGTAGTTAGTTAGTTAGTTAGTTAGTTAGTTAGTTAGTTAGTTAGTAGTTAGTTAGTTAGTTAGTTAGTTAGTTAGTTAGTTAGTTAGTTAGTTAGTTAGTTAGTTAGTTAGTTAGTTAGTTAGTAGTTAGTTAGTTAGTTAGTTAGTTAGTTAGTTAGTTAGTTAGTTAGTTAGTAGTTAGTTAGTTAGTTAGTTAGTAGTAGTTAGTTAGTTAGTTAGTTAGTTAGTTAGTTAGTTAGTTAGTTAGTTAGTTAGTTAGTTAGTTAGTTAGTTAGTTAGTTAGTTAGTTAGTAGTTAGTTAGTTAGTAGTTAGTTAGTTAGTTAGTTAGTTAGTTAGTTAGTTAGTTAGTTAGTAGTTAGTTAGTTAGTAGTTAGTAGTTAGTTAGTTAGTTAGTTAGTTAGTTAGTTAGTTAGTTAGTTAGTTAGTTAGTTAGTTAGTTAGTTAGTTAGTTAGTTAGTTAGTTAGTTAGTTAGTTAGTTAGTTAGTAGTTAGTTAGTTAGTTAGTTAGTTAGTTAGTTAGTTAGTTAGTTAGTAGTTAGTTAGTTAGTTAGTTAGTTAGTTAGTTAGTTAGTTAGTTAGTTAGTTAGTTAGTTTAGTTAGCCCTTTATCAGTGCCTCAGGTGGGAATTAAACCCACGACATCCGGTCTACCTGAAAATCGGGCTAAAATTCGACTAGAATCATTCTGTGGATATAATTTGCTGTAGGCCCATAACTGATCATAGCTTCCATGAAAGGACCTCAATACTTAAATCGAAATAAAATTCGGTCCATTATTTGCAAATTATAAACAAGATTCTTACATTTCTATACATATTCGACATGTTATAGGTGAATGTTACTTTAGATTCGGCATAGCTGCACTGTTTAGGAAGTCTGGTCGGCTTAGGTTTCTACAGAAAAGATTTCCTTATAAATCGTTGAATTAAATTTAAGAG